AAGCAAGCATCTAAACCCTAAACCCTAAACCCTAAACCCTAAACCCTAAACCCCAAACCCTAAACCCTAACCCCTAAATTAAACCCTAAACCCTTTCTCTATTCATGGTCATTATTTTCTATGTATGCGTTGTTTGGCTTATTTGCAATCATATGCGTTTCTTCCCATTGGGACGGGGACCCGAACCCCGAATTCGTATCCGGGGAACTGGCTCTTGCAGGTGGGCAGGGGTGCAGACCCTGCCGCGCGTGATGGAGTACGACTCCAAACATCAAGCTCTGCGGATTTTTCCGCTCCCGGCCTGTTTCATGTACCCTTAACCCTAAACCCTAAACCCTAAACTGGGTTGTGGGCCGTAGGCAGTTGCGGTTCTTGGATTCGCCCATGGGGATGCTATCAGATTCGGTTTTCGGGATGTTGGCTCTGCATCTGAAGTCTAGATGAGATAGGACCCTAGCAAAACTAGGTGATGATAGGCTGTTTAGGGTTTAGCGGTTTAGGGTTTAGGGTTCAGGGGAGAGCTATTTTGCGCCTGTGCGCAAACAGCAACATACTGGATCGCTGCCATGCCAACGTCACGGGGAAAGCCGACAGGAACCCACAGCCCAGGAAGCTGAAACAAGTAAGGCAGAGGGTTTCAGGATTCAGGGTTAAGGGTCTGCCTGAAACTGCCATCTCCGGAGTTACAAATCACAGTCTCGACTCTGGACAAAGACCCCGAGCATATGAGCCCCCCATGATGTAATCGGTTCAGGGTGTAGGGTTTTATATAGGACCCTTAATAATTCCTATAAGTAATGTTTTTTTGGGGGTTCCAAATTATAACCATAGTTTAATATACCCCAAAGCCCTATTCTAATGATCAAGGACCCTATATTAGGGCTTCGGTCGGCGAAGCTTGAAGATGCGAAAACCCCAGGAAGCCAAGCCGGAGCCCTGAACCCCAAGCCGCAACCTGTAAACCACAGGGAAGCCGGAATCCCCAAGCCCGCTAAATGTAGGCGCTAGGTTTAGGGTTTAGGGTTTAGGGTTTAGGGTTTAGGGTTTAGCACCAAAACGCCCTGAACTCTAAAGCCTAAATCCCTAAACCCTAAACCCTAAACTCCCCACCTGTAGTTTCCTTTAACTATAAGGAGTTGTGTGGCATAAACCCCAAACCACGGCCCTATAAACCCTAAAGCCCAAACCCAGAATTCGAAATCCGAAGTTCGGCAGCCCAGTAAGTCTTCCGGTTTAGTGTTTAGGGTTCGTTTAGGGTTTAGGGGCTTAGGGGCTTTGGGTTTAGGGTCTAGGGTTTAGGGTTTGGGGGCTTAGGGTTTAGGGTTTAGGGGCAAGGGTTTGCCGGTAACCTTATTTTGGCACTTAAGCTTAAGTGCAGACCCGTGATCAGCAACCGCCGCTTTTTATAAGGGCCCCAAATTTCGGCTCTCTCCTGTGTTGCCTAAACAGGGGATTCACCAGACATGAACCATATATATATATATATATATATTCCCAAAGGAGCACTTGCAGATTTTTCGTTCCCCTACAAACTGGACAAGTGAGAATTACACACTTTAAACTCCTGAACCCTAAACCCTTAACCCCCAAACCCTAAACTCCTAAACCCCAAACCCTAAACCCCTAAACCCTAAAGCCGAAGGAGCCTGAACCAGTCGTCGAAAGGCTTCCAGCATTGGCGGCTCTGCGGCAGGAGTTGCTGTTTGCGTCGAGTGGACCCAGGAAGCTTGCACCCTGGTCTGATTCGAGGAGTGCAGAGGGGTTTCGCTGCTTCAGTCTTGGGTAACTACTGATCACCATCTTCACCTCCATCATTAGCATGATGAGGGATTTCAGGGTTTGGAAGTAAGCCTTATGTCAGTGGTAATGAAGCGCCAGCGGATCGGGTTCCGTGGTCAAGGAGCCTTATTACCTGAAACATACTTTGCCGCGCCTCTGTTCCCGGGCAGGAGCCCATAGGAACTCCCCCACAGTAAGGCTTCCCGATTCAAAGCGGAGTTTAGGGGTTTCGGGCTTAGAGTTTAGAGTTTGGAGTGGTAGTAGCATAGGGCCTGAATATTATACTTCCTTACAAATACTAGTCCCCAGAGTACTTTAGTGTAAGTTTACCACACTTCATATGGGGTTTCCGACAATAGGGGACCCTAATATAGTACTCTAAATAGTAGGATCCTTATTATAAGCACCCCAAAATAAGGTACCCCCCTAGTTTTCGGAAACTCCCATATATGACATGACCCTGTTAGCATGGTACGGGAGTATTACGGCTCAGATCCGGTCTCCAGGATTATGGGCCTCAGCTTGATTCTATATCGGTAGTTCCCTAAATTAAGGTCCCTTTTTGGGTCCCCAATATAGTACGGCACCCTTATAAAAAACGATCCCTTTTGTAATTTAAAGAACTACTCATATGTACGGCTCTTGTTATGACGTCGGCAACTGTAGTGCGATCTACCGATTCAGGTGCTTATGGCTATATCCCATGCTTCGTTGAAACCCAGACTTCGAACCGTGCATGCCATACCGGAGGCCTCAGAAGCTCAGATCTGAAGGTTGAAACCATGGGCCCCTAGTATGGGCCCTTAACCCTGGGATCCTTAACACCTACTATATACCCTATATGTACCCCTTAAGGATCCCTAGAAAGGCCTAAGGGTCCATACTTCTAACCTTAGACAGATCATAACCACGAAAGGTTGACATGGAGCCGTTCATGCTGGTGGACGCCAGTGGCAATGGCACAGCGCCGGTTCCGCCAGGGTTGCAGCTGCAGCAAGAAGTTCTGGCTTCATTCACCTTTCCTGTGGCGCCTTAGCGGTTTCAGAAGGGTTTAGGGTTTAGGGTTTCGGGAAAGTTTAGGGTTTAGGGTTTATAGGGTTTAGGGAGAAGTGGAGCTTTTGGTTCGGCTTATAGGGCTTTATTATCATAGTTCCCTGTATCAGTCTTTTTGTGATACATGCCCCCTAGAGTTCACTGATACTGAAAATGCTAAAGTTGGGCCCCTTTTTCCAGAAGATATATTAGTGTGGAAGAGATTTACGAAGTACTGGAGGCCTTCTATACAGGATACGGGTCTGAATCATTAGAACAAAGCTATCCCCATGGGTAGTTGTCAAAATTATGGTCCCTTTTGGGGTACCCTAAATAATAGGTGCCGTATTATAATAAGGACCCAAAAAGGGGCCATAATTTTGACAACCACCCCCATATAGGCCCTGAAGCACTCCGGTATGACTGACTCCCAAAGCCCTATTCTAATCACAATGGTCCCTAAACCCCAAATCCTAAACCCCAACGCCTTGAACCCTAAGCCCTAAAACCCTAAACCTTAAACCTCAAACCCTAAAGCCCCAAACCTTAAACTCTAAAGCCCTAAACCCTAAACCCTCAACCCCGAAACCCCTTACCCCCTTATGCAAGCCCTAACCCTACACTGTTGTATCCTTTTCTCCGCACCCGGAAGCAGAAACACCCCAAAGTTAGACTCTAAACCCAAACCCCTAAACCCCAAATCCCAAATCCCAAACCCTAAACCCCGAACCCCAAACCCTAAACCTCTCAGGACCTCTTCGATACCGACCCAGGAGCCTTCGTCGGCCTGCTCGTCCGGCAGCTATCGGCCAAGTAGCCAGGTCCCTTAATAGTATAGTAATAATAGTAATAAATGTAATAATAATAATAGTAATAATAGTAATAATAGTACCTAGTTCCCCCTTTAAGCTTTAAGGATTCGCCAGCGTTTATGCTTAGGGGCTTTGGGTTTGAACTTTTCCGGATAAGTAGTCTAGAAGAGGTTCGGGTACCCAATTTAACATAGGGCTACTGAGAACCTAGGCAATACAGCCGCATTGGTCTAACCGCGAATCCCCTGGGCGGGCAGACGCTTAAGACCACAGATCTTACCGCGCCGAGCTACGCAGATCTGCCGATGGACTTACAGGCAGGTGACACTGCAAATGCACAGAACTGCTCGGAGACTCTGACGATGTTAAGATATCGTACAACCAAAAGATGAAGTTGAGGAATGCTAATCATCGGATTTAGGATGCAAGGGGCTTGCACCCTTCAGACCCTAAACCCTAAACCCTAAAAGATAGCATCGTATAGAGCCCTTGGGGACCGAGGAACTGTGTGTCGAGGACTTGCGGTGTGTGGCTTGGACCTACGTGCGGAAGAGCTCGGACTCGCATGGAAGCTGCTAGCTTGAGACTTCGAACCCCACTGCTTTAGCAGCGGTTAGTCGCAGTAGTAGTAGTAGTAGTAGTAGTAGTAGTAGTAGTAGTAGTACATCGTCCTAGTAGTACTAGCAGCAGCATCAGTCGTAGTCGTGGTTTTACTAGCCGCTTCGTCTTCTTTAGCCATTAGCCTGGTCTTGGCTTATCCCACCGAGGCTTCACGCCGCGCTGTTCCCTGAAGGGGTTTGCAAGCATCGAGCAACGCAACATCTCGTCGTGCTGCATCTCTGGCTTCGTGGCTGGCTTCAATTATTCGAAGGTTCATGGGACTTAGCAAGTAGGGTTCGTGCATAATGATAGGTTTAGCTATAGTTGCTGATACCGCAGTTAGGGCAGCTCGGGAACTTAACACCTCACTTGCTAACCGAAAATCCTAAAGTCCTGCTAGTCACCCGAAAAGAACTCTGTTGCCTTGCTTACTAAGACCCACGATCCTCCAACCACCGGAGCCGATATCAGGAAAGCAAGGTCATACCTATAGTCTCCATTGCAGTTCCTTTTCGGGGTTACCTTAAAGGAACCTAACCATAAAACAGGCTAAACCTAGAAAAGGAACTACAATGGAGACTCTAGGTAGTTTGAAAGCTAGACATCCAGTTTTATTTTGTCCACGACGTCACGAGGTGAAGACGCCTCTGTTCTTGGTTCAGCGCAATACATCAGGGGGGCAGCTCGGCAAATTGAGAAGGGTTTAGGGTTTAGGGTTTAAGGAATGGCCATCTGTTGATCACTCTCTCTCTCTCTCTCTCTCTCTTGTCAGCTTCTCAAGCGGCTGTTGCTTTTGCTGTGTGGCTTTGTGGTGGCTATGACAATATCTCCGTGTGGTTCCTGGCCACTTAAAGTTTGTAGGAGCAGCGTCTTGTAGTTTTTGTTGCTACAGCAGGATCTCCATTACGATTCCATTTTCAGCTTGGTCGTCGTTTGGACGCTTTGGGTTTTTATTTTGGAGTACTAGCGGAGGTTGCTGCTGACATTTGATGATTGACTGCTGTGATGGTATCATGAGCAGTGCTCGCCTTATGCGCTTTTCGGTGGCTCTGGGGATCCAGGGTAGTACTGTAGTGGTTTGGAGTTTAGGGTTTACAGGGTTTAGGGTATATAAATGTAATACTTTCAGGGGTTCAGGGTTGCACCCATCTCCGCCCAGACAGAGGAGTCAGGATCAGTTTGGAAGTCATTGAAGCTGAATTTGGTGTTCTCGAAATTAGGATTAGGGTCCCAGGTAGGGTCCTTGTTTATGAGCGTGGCGTACTCTTCTGGAGCCGCTCCCCCGAAACACCCTGCCGGAGGGTGTGAAGTAGCCGACCTATCCTGCCCACATCCCTAGCCGGACGATATCCATCCGGGTGGAAGGGTGGTGGGTAAGGCCCGGAGGTATAAGAGGCTGCTGCATGAGAGGTTATGTCGAGTAGAGGTTCTTGTCATGTTGCTCTATTCTCGGCATCTTATGATTATCTGCCATGTTAGCGGAAGATTTACGATCTAGAGCGACTATAAAACCAACACGCCGAGCATCCCCAAACCCTAAACCTCAAGCTGTCTGCGACGATGCCTGGCATCAAAGGTGGGGTGACACGTCATCCAGAGGCGGCCGAGCTCGGATACTTCCTGACCCACAGGCGCAAGAAGTCCGAAGTAGATGACTGTGGAGGGGCAGCAGGCATTCATGCAAGTACATACAGACATGAAATGTGGGAAGAAGAAGCCGGGTGTATACGTGCAGATACATACGTACATACATACATACATACATACATACATACATACCTACGTACGTACGTACATGCATACATACATACATACATACATACAGACTATCACAGGTACGTATATAATTTATTCGTATATACATGTGTACATATATATATATATAAAGTAGACATACACAGACACATACACAGACACGCACACACACACACACACACACACACATTCATTCATCCATTCACTCATTCACACCTCTCTGAAGTGTTGGCTCCAAGGGCGAGCAGAGGGACCTTGCCCTGAGTGTGATTTGGTTAGCTGGCACTGCTGTCTCGCACCGATCACGGTACGCACGAACACGGCCTCAAAATGCAAAGCACGACGGCCCAACCGAAGTCGAAAACAGCCCTGTGCCCTATACTCTGATATATGTATATGTACACGCATGTGTATATGTAGATGTACCTTGTATTCAGATATTTCCGATAACGGCCGCTTCCACGGTCACGACCACTGTTGTTACCTCTGCTGTTGCTGCTACGACGACAACTACTCCTACTACTATTACTACTACTCCCACTCCTGCTCCTACTTCTACCCCTACTCCTCTCCCTGCTCCTATTCCTGCTCCTCCGCCGCCTCCAACTCCTACTCCTACTCCTACTCCTACTGCTGCCAATACTACTACCACCACCACCACGACGACTACTACTACTCCTCCTGCTACTACTACTGCTGCTGCTGCTACTACTACTACTACTACTACTACTACTACTACTCCTGCTGCTGCTGCTGCTACTACTACTACTACTACTACTACTGCTATTACTACGACGACGACTACTACTACCGCCGCCACTACCACTACCACTACCACTACCACTACCGCCACCGCCACCACCATCATTACAACCACAACCAACACCAACACCAA